ATCATGGTGACCAGGAAGCAGACAAAGAAGAGAGTAGAGATATTCCAGATTCAAACCCAACAGCACTAACTCTCCAGCCCTCTGCACTAATGCAGTCCACCAAACACTGGTTTTCTTCTTTGTGCTACAGGACATGAGGCAAATTCACAGCACAAATATTCTTCTAGAAGAATAAAAGCATTGAAAAAAGAAGAAAAAAGAAAAAGAAAAAAATAAAGAAATAAGAAAGGCAGTATGCTAAGTAATTCTGGTGAGCAGAAAGAGGAGAATACTTGCCAACAAACTTCGTATTTGAGAAATTTCTAGGGCTTGAAGGTCTGGTGCATATTGAAACAGCTCGTCAGGTGGGGAAAATGTTTCTGCAGCTGATGTGTAAGAAGTGGGCCTCGGAATTTCAATTGCAATTGATATATGACTTGGGCATTTACTTCTATTCATTTATAAAATAATCCAATGCACTTTTGGTTTTCAGTCAGGCATGGAAAAAAAGGACACTATGCAACAGATTCAGGCTGCCAATCAGCATGGGCTCTGGCCTGGATCAGCGCCCTCCACAAATCCAACAAACAGTAGTCAAAACATCCTTCCCAGGTGGATCCTGAGGGAAATTTTGGGCAGGCCCTCATCAAAAAAAAAATCAGTGGAGTTGAGTTTTCTCTGCAGAAAGTCTTTCCCTATTGAGAAAGAGCTTGCTCCTTATTACAGGGTCCTACTGTAAGTCTTAGTATTTTCCATCAGATAGCCATGTGGTATTGAGTTCTTATATTAAGAGGGTGTTGCCTGACCCATTGAGCCTTATGGAGCATTAATCAAATGGGAGCAAGAGATTCATTTTTCACCACAGGTTTTGAAGTCAGAAGTTGTATTAAAATTAAGTCAAATTCCCATGGTTCCTCCTTCTGCTGCATGCCTCCTTGCTCCTGTGGACTGCAGGAGGACAATTTGCTCTTTATTTATTCTGGAATTCTGTGAACTTGACAATGCAGCCCGACAGGTGATTCTAAAATCTAATGGTGAAGACAATGTTTCCAGCGCAAAAACTTCAAACTATGCACCTGGCTGTTCATTTTACCTGGACAGAAAGATGAACGGCGGCACACGTGTGAGTGATGAGTGGTGTGTAAGTTTGGCTGGATGGTTGGCACCTTAGGAAAAACATGACTGAAAATAATCAGTAACAAGGCAAGAGAGAAGGTAAGGGCAAAGACTTTGCCAAATGAGAAAAAAGAATAAAGACATTGTGTCTTGTATAAATGATCACAAAAAGCAACTTTTGAAGAGAAGTATCTTCAAAAGCTACAATTCTTGTCATATAGGTCTTGCTTTATCTTGGTCTTAGCCATCCAGCAGAAAAGTAGAAAAACGAAGTATAAAAAGTAAAGCCATATTAATATGTTAAGCTGTAAAAGGCTCAAGTCAACAACTTCTGACATTGCCATTCCTATGGATAACCCACTACTACTATGGACTACTGGACTATATTGGATTATTTTGCTGAATTCACACACCTACAATATTTGGATGGCAATGGAATACCCTTCTCTGACAAAACTAAACAAAAAAGGGCACACAAATGAACTGTTTTGTATCTGTATATTCAAAATAGCTATGATAGATCTACAACTACATTCTCTTAATTCAATGAATAAAAACATTTGTTCTAATAGTGTTTGTAGACAGGATATCATGTCTGCATCTTGTGCAATGAATAACCACTAAGACAACAATATACAATGTATTTATTATTGCAACTGTCCTACTAGTCGATTTTGAAACTGGCTTATTGCTGTTTCTCACTAAAATTATTTTTAAAAAATAAAATTTAAGTAAAAAAAAATGAAGAGAAGTATCTTACTATCTGCTTGTACAAGGTAGCCCATTCTCTAATTCTCACAACTGTCCAATTGGCTCCTGAAGAGAACGATCATGGAAACTGAGCCAGAGCGTCTGCGTAAGCAGAGCAACACTCATGGGCCTAATTTGGCCAAGACCAGAGATCCTGGAACGGCCCCACTCACTCCCTTAAAAAGGAAGCCAGCCACCTGGCACATTATGCCTTCCCGACCTTTAATGTTTCTGTTAATGCCACCACCTGTGGATTTATAGTATGCCTTTTCACCTTCATAGCACCCTATATAGTGGTACTTCTGAAAGAAAAACTTGTTTTATACAAATGAAGTCCAATACTGGGCGCATATTCACTGAACTCACTGCTGTCATCACATCCCGTTCATCCCCAAACAGCTGATCTAATAAAACTGTGCAATGGCCTTTGGACAATTGTTATGGCACCATCTGGATGAAGTCCTTTATAGGGCTAGAATGACGCTTCTCTGGGTGTGATACGCCTTGAATCAGTTCCCTGTACGCAGTGATATTTTTCCTACATTCAGGATACGAGTCAGAATCAACAGATATGGAAATACCATTTATCTTATCAATCCTAATAATTCCACAGGAAAAGATGTTCCCTTTTCCTACAACTTGTGGCTTTAAGTATTATTTCCCAAAGGCAAAATGATTTTATGAGACTTTAATATTGTCCTTCACCCTAAGAATACCACTGACATGGCTCATTTCCCACCATCTAAGCACTTACCCAAACTCATGCCATCAAAACAATAGGCACAGGGCAGTATCTCTCTGTAGAATGTCACACTCAGCCTTCAAATATTTTATGGCAAAACTGAATGGAAAGCTGCAACAACCTAAGCAAGATGGCTTGTGGCACCGAATCTTCAGGAACAAGGATATGCGCTGCCCACCATAGTCAGTAACTACAGTGAACAGAGACACATTCTGGGAACAAGGAAAGTATAAAATGGAGAGCGTAAGAATAAGGTTGTAGATGCTATCTGTGATCCTGTGACAAGTCCTGGCCCCACCGCCAGGCAGGTGGCTCTAGTAGATCAATATCTTCTTTGCTTCAAAGTACATTTGAGTGTGTGCATTTGTGTGTATTTGTAGAGGGGTGATCTATTACAAATGCACTGTAAAATGAGGATATCAGGAATCAAAACGTAAGTTAATATATAACTTACCAAACCTCATAGCTTGCCAAATAACATCTGGAAAAGTACCTGTTTTTTACCACGTGATCTTCTGGCTCACTGAGGAAGGAGGCTCTGCCATTTAACACCTTTATTTCCACACATACTAATCCCAAATGATAAATGAAGCAGAAACACAACTTAGTGGTTTTTACACCCATTTTCTTTACAAAGCTCGTGAAAGGCTCCAAGACACATATGTAATAATGTGGTATGAAAGTGTGGCTGACTTAGGAAATGAACCACCTAACACAAAGCCTGGAACTTGGCCTGCATGTTCAGGTAATAACTGTCCTTTGGGTCCCACATCCACCAAGTAGATTAGAGGGCATTACAGTACTCCTTGTTGAGAAACAGCCACTAGGGGACAGAGATACTATCTTTACACCAAGTAATAACAGCCACAGTTATTAGGCACCCAGTGGAGGGGCACTATGCACTCTGGATTTTACACATGCTACCTTCCCTCTTCATGAATCTTGCACATTACAGACCTGTTTTACTGAGAAGAAACAAATGGACAGAACCTACCCGAATTGTATTGCCGAATCTATTCTCCACCTCAACTCCAAAATAAACACTCTTCTAAGTTAGAAGACATGTTGGTGCGTACCTCACAGAAACTTGACTGAAGCTTGTCTTCACCGCACGTCTATGTCCCATTGGAGACCTTTTCCCCTATGTCTGTACACCTCACTAACCTTTACCAGTGTGAAAACCTTGTAAAATATGCACTTTCTTCCTTTATCATCTCCCAGGGGAATACAGCATAGGAAAAGTTTTGTTGAGAAAAACGCCACTGTTTTACTTACTGGGTATTTTCATTTACATGAGTTTAGAATTAAAACACATTTATTTAGCAAATATTTACCGCATTTCTGATTGGCTTGTAAATGATTCTGTATCAATGCTGAAGCAGTAAAGAAAGTCCCATCAGTCAGGTCTGTAACTGGTATTTCCTACCCGGTACTGTCAATGAGAAATGAAAGCCAGTAATATAGTTCAGTGGCACAGCGCCTGCTGGGCAAGCACAAGGACCTGAGTTTGATTCTCAGTACCGAAAAAATAAGGATGAATTAACACACAATGTAGCCTTCCCATTGCTGGCCAGCTGCTAACCACAGGAAAACATTTTGTTCTTCGGAATCATCTCTCCACGATGATTCCAGGTGGAAGAAACCCAGTCCACTGGGGCTGTGTATGCAAGAGCTTAGGGCATTTGCTCTCCTTCCTTTCCACCTAATTAGTGGCTTAGAATTTCAGTCTTCAAGCAGCATCCATGGGCAAAAATGTCAAGAACTCACTGTACAAAAAACTCACTAAAATGCCAATGTTGCAAAATGGTGGAAAACCACTGGCTGTTGGTTGCTTTCTGTGTATGTGGATACAGTTTGTGGGCGCCTTGAGGTCAGGTCTCCTACCTTAACAGCCTCTTCATCCCCTCTGCATAGCTCAGTGCATAAGGAACTAGGCACTTTCATAGGTAGGTGTGGAAGGATTTCATTCCTAATACTTCATTTGATCTTTACTTAATTCAGTCAGTAAATAATATTATTGAGCACCTGATATCAGCCAGACACACCATAAAGCTTGAAGAAACAAAACATACACAAATTCTTCCTCAGATCTAATTATCTGAAATTGCTGAAGAAAAATCTCTCTTGATTCTTAGAATTCTCCTGGGGCCTGCACACCACCACTGCTGAGTTTCAGTTTCCTTACATTGTGTTTACTGTTTGGACCAACGGTCTATAAGATTATTTAAATCTTGAAAGTGGGTCAGTGAGATAGCTCAGCAGATTCAGCTCCTGCTTAGGCAAGTACAGGGACTGGGGTTCAACTCCTGGCACCCCATGCTGCACCAGCCCCACCCTCAGGCTCGCTGAGCTGGCCACTGCACACAGACATGGCAGTGCACTCCTGTAATCCCAGTGCTGGGGAGGCTGAAAACAGGAGTATCACTATGAATCCAAGCTGCATAATGAGACCCTGTACAAATACATTTTTAAAAAATCCTGAAAGTACAAGGGGTACAGAAAAGTATATGAATTAATTTCTAAGATTATTAAATTATGCTTAAATTTTGAACACTCCTTCAAATGGCTGTTCATCTTCTAGATCCAAAGCAATTCAGTATCCCCAATGAATACACGCACATCACTGTGGAAATCACAGAAGTATCCAGCAATTCTAGAACTGTTTTTAACCCAGATCTCTACAGTATACTGTAAGCTATTTTACAGAAAACATTTTCACTTAAAATTCTCTATAGGATTGAGTACATTTCAAAAAATGGCATTTAACAAATTTAATAATTCAAGAATCATAAGGGATTCCATCAAGAATCCCATTAAATTGGATACAAAAGTGTACACCTGTGGGCCATTTTGTAGAGCTGTTTGGTTTTATCAAAGGCTCAGAGAGAGTAATTATCCAAAAATCACTTCATTTAGTATATATTAATTGAATATCAACTATTTTCTAGTTATTGTAGTAGATCAGACTCAGATTTAAATTACTTTATAAATTAAATTGGTAGTGACTGTATCTTTCTCATATTCACAACTGAAATTAATGAACAATCATTAAATATATTTGCACCCTAAAACCACACCAGACACTGTGTCGTATGTAATTTGTTGGTAAAAGATGTTTCAGATATATAATCCTACTGGCTTTACCACAGACTTCATAGTGCTAAGAATTTAGTGTGTATCTATACATAGATGTGCATATATATATATATATATATGAATATAGATATAATTAAGGAAAACTTCAGTGAGTCATGCTGTTTAAATTATTTAAAATATCTCTAAATTCATACCACAGCTGGGTTTTCATTTATCCCTAACAATAACAATGAAGTTACTGTCTTTAACAAAACTCATGACATATAAAGAAAACTTCATAAAACTGTTTTGTAAGCAGTTTCCTCAGGGACTTTCTACTGACTGAAATAAATAGCTTTCATGTGCTCCACATGAGGAACAAAATGTAATTTTAAAACCTCAAGAATACCACTATACTTTAATGGCAGTTTTCCCCTGTGGAAATCCTATGTGTCCTCGATGCATTCAGCATCATCTACATAGAATCAATCAATATTTTGTCTGGGCATTTTTTGAACAAAATTACCTTTACCTTTGAGAATGGGTGCTGTACTCTTGTCTCACATACATGCAAGAGATATTTCCTGACACAGGAACAAGCACACAAAACAGTAACATCATCCACAGTAGAAAGGTACTTTACAATAAGAACATTTTAATGCAGAATGATTCAAAATGACCATTTCCAAACTCTTGTTTACTTTTAGAAAAAGTGTTTCTAACTCACCTCTGGGAATCTGAGTCGCAATTAGTGATAGTGGCCAGAAGATGGCGCAGTCTCATTTCCTAAGATTTACTTACTGGGCCTTTGTGAAATTCACAAGGCTAAAATAATTTATATTCTTCATAGTAAATCTATATTTATTGTGTATAACGAGAAACAGACGAGAGGAAAAAAAGAAATTTAGGGAATGGTAAAAAAAAAATGTAAGAGGAACAGTGGTAAGAGATTTAGCAGTATGACAGTGCTGAAGAGCGACCCTTATTGTAAGGATACCAGTTGTAAAAAGTACCTTTAAGAATGTAAAAGGCAGGGAGAAGCACACACAGTCCAAAGCTATTTGACAAGATTTCTCTGTAGAGTGGATGGGAAGGGTGGGGAGTGGCAGATTTTTGGCAGTGGCTTTTGTAAATGGTAGCTAAGAGTAAAATAAAACATTACAAAAAGTCAAAACTTCAAATTTTTTACTTACTACTTATCACTTTTCTGAAAATACAAAATATTTTGGTAACGTTGTTGTTCTGTGAATAGGAACAAGAGAAAAAGTTTTAGAAAATCATTGCTTGGAATTTATTCATATTTTTAAATTTCTCTCTTGGTTCACTTTATATTCTGATGGATTACTCTTTACAACTATAAAGTTATTATAGCTAGAAGCCATGCTTTTCACTAAAAATAAAAAGTACAGTTTTAAAATAAAAACTTTATGACAATTTAGCCAACAAGTTGTTAAATAAGATTTTTCCTAAAACAGCGCTATTCAAGGCACGTATGTGCAAATGTTTCTTTCGCTTAATAAATGCAATAGTCTTCAAGCCTGAAGTTTTTTATACTGCTTGTTAAAAAAATAGAATTTTTTAAGGCCTAGTATTTCACTCACATATATGGAAATGGGTACTGCCCCAAATGCTAGTCAAATATACTTTTTGACATAATTACGAGACACCGTGTGTGTTTGGATATGTTGTACAGTTCTAGAAACACTCCGGAAAGGGGGAATGGCAGATCCATCACAGATGGCCCTGACTGGGGCGGCCTAGTAGCCTACCACCAGTTACTGAGTTTTTACTAGGATGGTAGGACGAGTCCCTCATAATCCCTGAAAAGGCATAATCCAAAGTTGGCCGAAAAGGCAGTGCTGGAACCAACCCAGGTGTTAGGTATGGCGACATAAAGCCTGTGAGCCCTCTTCCTGCAGAAGAGTATGCCAATCGCAACGGACCAATAGCTAGCCTAGGACTGAAGCTGTAGAGACTTGAATCACCTCTGTAAGAAACGGGTGTGGTGCGAAGAGGAGAAAATGCAGATTTGTTACCAAGAGTTCCAAAACCGATCCCAGCTAGGCTAAAATTCGAAGCTCCCTGAAAGGTTGCATTTTCCACATCTTCTGAGGGTACCAGGTCCCCTGTGGCTGGCTCATGTTCCTTCCCACTCAAGACTTGTTCGATGGCTTGGACCACATCTCCTTGGCAGAACTGCAGAATGCCTTCTAGCTGGCTACGCCTGTAGCCTGGAAAAATCTTGGTAAGAATGTCGAGGGGATCCCTTGGTCGCGAGGACACTGTGGGAAACCTGACAGCGCAGTCCTTGGTGCACTCGCTCTCATTTCCTGACTCCAAATCCGAGGATGACAAGGACCTGGGACTGTCTTCCCCTCCTGATTGCTCCCCAGGGTGGGAAGACAGGAGGCTTTCAGGCTGACTGGCGTGTTCTGAAGTAGATGACCTGAGGCTCTGCTGCCCAATGACACCCTGAGACTTGGGAGACGAAGCCGGAAAACACTGGTGGGATCTGGAGACTGGTTCTTCATGTCCACTCTGGCCTGAGTCACATTTACTCTCTTTAGGCTCTGCAGAAATGAAAATACAAAAGATTCAAATCCTAGGAAAACGTCCCAGAATCCAGTGCTCCACTCAGAAATAATGCTGGGTAGAATACCTCACTCATACTAAATTAGTGATATTTATTCACGTTGAAACATTTTAACAGCTCAAATTTTTAAAAATCACTCAGAATTTGCAAGTGCTGGAATAGTGAGAAAATTGTGTTTCTTACGTTCCTGCAGGGTCACAAAGACTTACACTTTATAAAGAGTAGCAGCTGGAACAGGCACGTCTGTTATTACTTAGAAGTACACATGGTTTGTTTGACCCCTCAAGCAGATTTGGGATTTTCCCAAATATGTTCCAAGTTTTTGTTGCTATCTATGGAGGTTTTTATTTCTGCTTTTTTACAATGCTCCCTCCAAAAAAGATATAAAGACATAAAGGATTGGATTGAGATAAATAAAAGAATAATCTCAGCTCAAGAATATCCTGTGTCATCACTAATGCTAAATTATTTTTACATTCACATTTCAGGTTATAATTAAGTTATCTAAAGAATGTGGCAACATAATAAAACTCATTTCAATTCTAATTTAAGCCATAGCAACTTGTGCTGAAACTGTTTCAAATTATACAGTAATGTACACTTCATCTGACCTCAGAAATGACACAATGTCTTTTTACAATCTTTTGTGAAGGTGCATTTTCTTCTCTAATCCATATGAAATACTAGTTTAGTATCAAACCATTTCTAAAAGAAACTTATAAACTGTATAAATCTTCAAATGTTTTATAAAAACATTATTTTGTGATTATTAAAATCACAAATGCCCTTCATATTAAGAACAATTGTCTTAAAATACTTTATACAAAAAGCTGGTTTTTTCTATTTCAATATTGTTATCATGTGATAAAAAATATTTCAATAGTCTTTTGCCTAACTGAAATGATGAAAATAATAATGTATACATTCTCTACAAAAGCCTCTGTTTTGGTTTGGTTACCTCTTACCCTAAGCATTTTATCTCTGGAAGGTAAACTGTGAAAAAGAGTGTCCAGAGTACTTCAGTCCAACCGTTTTTCTACAAAGTTTACCAATGTAATAAAGCAAATATTTCCTAAAGCAGTGATTTGCAACCATGATTTGTAATACTGTTTTCTCCAGTTTTCTGAAGGAGCAGTCCTAAATTAGAAAGAAATATCTATAGTTTACTCGAAAGTTAAAGTGTACATAATCTAGCACTTTGAGGATCAAAATTATATGTAACTTTGCCAAATATATAAAGGTGTCACTAATAAAAAGTACAAAGACTTTCTGATATTTTCTACTTTAATACAGTAATTTTTTTAATGAAGTCTACCACATAGAAATATACCGGCATTGATGTCCTATTTCATTTTACTTATGTATAATTCTCTAGGTGTTTTCCCCCATACACTGAAAGTAACAAAAGTTCATCTCAGTAATTTATGCATAAAAAATAATTTCTCACTGTTATGCTGTACTCAGTACAAATATACGTAAAGAAACACCGATTGTATTAGACTATTTAGAAACAATGTAATATTTATTTCATCTGTCGTCTTCTGTAGCTTGTTGTATTTATTCTGCTTCATTTATTATTGAATATTCTGCTTTATATTTTAGATTTTGGATACATATAACCTTCCTTCTTTTGAATATAAAGTTCTTTAGTGGAAGAAAGCCGTATTCACCTCTGAATCATTACTGGTCTTTATAAATTAAATGAAAGACCTTCTTAACAGTGCATGGACACTGTAAGAGGAGGGGGTCAGTTTAGAAAGCCGCTGAATGAAGTGGATTTCCAAAACTTTTTATGGGGTGGGGAAGGGAGAGCCAAGAAACTCGCTGAGGCCAAAAATAATTAGCCCTATAAAACAGGGCACTTTTGTACCAAACAATATATAAACCACACATAAATCGATGCCATCACCCGAATCTCACTGCCAGATTAATTTAAGGAATTCTTACTTTCATTTCTCTCGTACGTACTTTCACTTACTAGGTGCCCTCTCCCTCACTGGCCCGCAGTGATCTCTCAGGAGAAATGTTCAAAGTCTGTCTTGCCTTTTCATACAAACTACAGAACAAGTGCAAAAAGTTGATATAGGGGCGCACAAAATGGCACGTGCTTCGTCTCAAGAGGACATCTTCGGTCTCCCAGGGCCGGAATTTTCTCAATTTCAGGGCTGTTTCTAGTTAATACACTCCTGTGTTATTTTCATATAATTTTGTGCGATGCAACCTGCTTGAGACTTTTACACAAAGACTGAAATGACACTTTCCTGCTAGTAGGCCCTACGAAGGGCTATGAAATTCGTAAAAAAGTTTGATTTACATCAGTACGAAAAGTTGACTGAATAATCTTAGTGGAATGTGTATTATACGTTATATATATTATATATAATATATACAGAACACTGGAGGTTTTAGTAAACTACTTAGTAGTCAATAAACAAAAGAAAAATATCTGAAACTTCTTGGGTAAGAAATTCGCAATATTTTACCTTGAAAATCTCACCAAAAATTTTACAAGTCAAAGAAACCTAAACGGATTTCCTCCGGGAAGCACAACCACCACCAGGAACAAAGTTTTCTACACTTTTCGGAGGCTGGAATCCCGGGAGGCGCTTAGAGAACCCGAAGAGCGCCCGCCTGGAGCGCACGCCTCAGAGCGCCCCCCAGCCCGGTCTCGAGCTCCCCGAGCCACCCCCCAACACTCCGCAGCAGGGAGCGCTCCACGCCCGCGCCGCACCCGAGCCCGGCGCCTCCCGGCGAGCCCGAAGACCCCCTCCGGGCTCGAGCGCACTCGGAGCGCAAAGCGCAGCGCCCCGCCCGCCCCCCAGAGACCCCCACGCCAGGGCCCGGCCCTTCCAGGGCCCTCCGGTCGCCAGGGACTCCCACCCCTGAGCCCCCGCCCCCCAGGGTCCCCGCCCCCAGGGCCCCCGCCCCCAGGGCCCCGTCCCCCAGAGCCCCCGCCCGCCAGGGACCCCCACTCC